GCGGAAACTTGGGCCAGAGCTGCCAGCAGCAGCAGATAAAACTTTACTAGTCAGCAGGAGATCACAGCTCTGGAGTCAGCAGGATCTGCTCTGCGGGGGGTGGGGGTTGCAGGATTCCTGGCTGCCCCCTGAGTTAACCCCTCCACTGACCAGCCCCATTTATCAGCGTGCTCAGGGTTTGCACGAGGTGTGGGATCCCAGGGTTGAGCCCGTGGACTCCTCCTGCCTTTAGGAGCAGATTCAGAGTGAGAACCAGCAGCAGGGTGCAGCGAGTTGGGGTTGCTGCTGGGGTGTGTGGAAGGATAAACACCAGCCTGCTCCCGTCCTGCCCATGGAAATCCCTCCCCAGCACAGTGTGACACCAAGAAACCAGCCTGTCCCCACCACGGCTGGGAACGTGCGTGTCCCTCCCACTACCAGCTCCCCTGGGACATCCTGTTTGCATTCACACTCCAGGCTTTTCTCTGCTGTGAAGCCTCAGGGAAAAGGCTGCTCTGAGAGCACTGGGAGGAACCATGCCAGGAAAGCATCTTCCCAGGGTGGAGAAAAGAGTTGGACAGCACGTTTGATAACACACACTCCTCAGTGATGTGTTCCTCCCCTGTGAACCCCCACATCTCTAGAGCTTTGACCCCACCTGGTGAGTTCCACCAAACTCACCGATATCCAGGGGTGCTTCAGAGCCTCCGCTGCCGTGATGCGCTTGGATGGGTTTATGGTCAACATCTTGTTGATGAGATCTTTTGCTTCAGGAGTGACTGTGTCCCATTCAGGGGAGGGGAACTGCCAAAGCAAAGACCAGAGTGAGAGGTGGCAGGAGCAACAGAAGAAGCAGAACCCTTTTTGAACTTGGGATGCTTCTCCTGCATCCCTTTGCGCCTGCCCGTGGGGCAGGTTGGAGAGAGAGTAGCAACTGGAAAGAGCTGCCAGCTGGAAAACTGGTGAGCAGGGGTGAGGGGAGAAAGGTGGAAGACCCAGGACAAGACCGAGCTGTCCTGAAAAGTGGACCTGAAACATGCCAGTGTGTGCACCTGGGCATGGCAGGTTGGCCAACCCTCTGTGACCAGAGTAGAGGAAATAAACTTGCTCTCGTCTGTCTAAGTTCATCCTGGTTGCTCTTCTGGAGCAGCAGACTGCAACACGGGGACAGCAAGAGAGAGGAGACCATGAAAAGTGGGAGCAAGACAAACCCACTCACATCATAAGCCCCAGCCTTGATCTGCTGGTAGAGTCGGTGCTGGTCTTCATCCCAAAAGGGCGGGTACCCAACCAGCAGGATGTAGAGGATGACGCCTGCCCAGGAGAGGAGATGTAGGATCAGTGGGAGAGAGTTCATTGCTGAAGGTATGAACAGATCCAGCCTGGGGACTGGCCCAACTCAAACAGAGGAATTGAGTAATTAGAGAAACGGGAGAATTTGCTTCCTGATTAAAAAGAAAAAGGCTCGTTGGTGGGTCCAGCTCCACACTGATGTGCTCAGTGACTGGGGACATACATGGTCTTGGCAGCTCCAGCCAGGTGCCCCATCAGGGCTGGGCGATGACTCCTCCCCATCACGGGTGGAAGAAGGCTCCTCTGTAGCTGCAGCTACGTGGAGGCACCTACCCTGCCTGGGGCCTTTGGGTGCAGGGGAGGTGCAAGGGGGCTGATCCTTCAGAGAAGGGTGCCACTGGACTGGGAAAGAGGGTGCTACTCTGGGGACAGCCCAGGGTCATGTGCCACCTCTTGGGTAAATTCTCCTCCCCAACGTCCCAGAGACATGTCTAGTAGTGACTGTGACTTGGGACATGCTGGCTGAGCAGCCTGCCCCATCCCACACAGCCCAGCCCAGCTTGCTCCCAACATTGCAGTCCGACTTACCACAAGCCCACAGGTCCACAGCTTTGCCGTAGGGGTCCTTACGGAGCACCTCGGGGGACAGGTATCCCGGGGTGCCAGCGAAACCTGGGACAGACAGCCTGTCACACACCACCAGCAGACAGCCCCCATCCCCACACAGCTTGC